TGTTGAGGGAAATTCAAAACACACTCACTGACACGTATTTATCGCCCACCAGGACGTCATAAACCATACACATCCACTCAATGGTCTCAATCAATAACTCGCTGCAAACGTATCTGAGTGGCTTCAGATGAGGTCCGATCTCTCACCTTCCCCCGCTGTTTGTCAGATTTATCTAGCAGGAGATGCGACTCTATAAACGCGGGACAGAATTAGGCCTACCGCTGAGGTACACTTATCCTGCCGCGTGCGTGCGTGCGAGCTGCGGGTGGACTTAGTTATCAAACCTCACATTAATACGACACCGCACCTCTGGCTGATCATAAATCAATCACACAGAGAAAATTATCTTGATGGGAAGATAAAAATGAACGAGTATGGGACTGAAAATGGCTTATAAACACGCACACGCAGCTCTTGGGTCTGTATGCAATAAATTTGAGTTCTGTTTATACTTCCTACAGTGCAATAAAAGCTTAGGCCAGAAAGACGCACACTGGTCAATGCACTGCATGCTGTGGCACTAATAAACCTCAGTACTCAAGGGGGCGATAGAGTTTCCTTCAAATGTCTGCCATTATTAATCCAGATGTTGCTATTCAGGTGATGGTTGTACCTGGAGAGAGATCTGCTAGCATTCCTGCTCAGTGTTGCATGCTGCCATCTTTTATTTATTTATTTTTTATAAAATAATCTTATATTTCCAAGCAATTATTTTTAACGGTATCTCATATTTCAAAATTACGTAATTATTCATATATTTTATATAATTTGTTTATAATATAACATCATGTTTCATAATTACTTGATTTCCAAGTAATTATTCATATATTTTGATCTTTTTAGAATCTCATATTTCACGATTCCATGTCATTAATTAGTTTTTATATTATTTTGTAATATAATCTCTAATTTCCTAATTCCTAATTAATACCTAATTCATTTCTAAGTATTATTAATATATTTGTATATTATTTGTATAATCTTTCACATTTTATAATGACTTAATTTCCAAATAATTATTAATATATTTTATATAATTTTTGTAACAATATAATCCCATATTTCATAATTACTTGATTTACAAGTAATTATTAATATATTTTTTATATAATACACTTTTATAATATAATTTTATATTTATCATATTTCTTAATTTTCTTAATTTAATTTCCATGTCATTAATTTATTTTTTTATATTTTTTATAACCTCTAATTTCTAGTATTATTAATATATCTAGTATTTATTAATATATCTAATATATCTAGTATATTAAGTATTATTCATATATTTGAATATTAATTATTTGTGAAATAATTCACATTTATTATCCAAATAATTATTCATATACTTTTTATATCACTTTTATCATTATAATCCCAAGTAATTACTCCTATTTTATTTTATTTTATTTTATAATGTATAATCTCATATCTGTTTATCCAACTAAAGCAAGACGGGGGACGGGATGGAAGTGTAATTTTCTTTAGTAGTGAATAAATTTCACACTTCACATGTAATTGTCTTGCTAAAGGCTTCAGGAGCTTTAACCCATTATATAAATACAGACCAGACTGATCATGTGACTTCTGCCATAAAATGTTCTTTATGTGTTAAAAGAGAAGGAGCTCATGGCTGGATGCACAAGATTCACTCTACAGTGTCACAAAAACACATGCAGGTCATATGTTGCCTCAAAACCAAAAGAAAATAAATAAATAAATTATATTTTATGTAACACAAATGTAGCCTGCATTGTGTCATTATTTTCGTGGCAATTAGGCATATTTTCCCATGTAAAGCTTGTGTGCATGCTGCTCTTTGTGAATAATTAGGAGTTTGCAGTTGTTCAATGCCACACTGGGTGTCTTTGTCATCCGTCTTTGATTATGATGTCGCCGCTGAGGAATCCCGTGGAATGTGGCAGAATGCTGCGGGAATCCAGGAATCATTCCAGACTGTCTGAGCGTTAACTCTTTCAGGACAATAGAGAGAGAGGGGGAGGATGTTAGAGCTAGATTTAAATCGTTTTATTTGATGAAGACGATTTTGAACAGTGCTTGAGCGTGCATGTCTCACCACCACAATGTTAATGGTTGCTAGGGAGTTGCTATGCAATTCTGAATGTTATTACAGTATGCATGTTGCAGGGTTGTTCTAATTGGCTGCTATGGTGTTGCAAGGTGGTTGCTGGGGTGTTCTGATTGTTTTCAGTTCTTTGCTTAGTGGTTGCTATAATGTTCTCAGGTGCATTGTTTTACGGTTACTAAAATGTTCTGGTTTCTGGTTTTCATTGCTTAATGGTTGCCAGGGTGTTGCTATGATGTTGCTAGGGTGTTCTCAGTGGTTTTCAGTGTATTGCTTAATGGTTGCCAGGGTGTTGCTATGATGTTGCTAGGGTATTCTCAGTGGTTTTCAGTGTATTGCTTAATGGTTGCCAGGTTTTCAGTGTATTGCTTAATGGTTGCCAGGGTGTTGCTATGATGTTGCTAGGTATTCTCAGTGGTTTTCAGTGTATTGCTTAGTGGTTGCCAGGGTGTTGCTATGATGTTGCTAGAGTATTCTCAGTGGTTTTCAGTGTATTGCTTAATGGTTGCCAGGGTGTTGCTATGATGTTGCTAGGTATTCTCAGTGGTTTTCAGTGTATTGCTTAGTGGTTGCCAGGGTGTTGATATGATGTTGCTAAGGTGTTCTCAGATGTATTGCTATGTGGTTACTAATAGTTCTGGTTGCTAGGGTGTTGCTATGCAGTTACTAAAATGTTTTGTTGCTAGTGCATTCTTGATGGTTTTGAGTGCATTGTTTAATGGTTACCAAGGTGTTGTTATGTGGTAACTAAAATGTTCTGGTTGCTAGGTTGCTCTTAGTTAGGGCATTCTTAGTTGTTTTCAGTGCATTGCTTAATGGTTGCCAGGATGTTGCTAAGATGTTCTTAAGTGCATTGCTGTGTGGTTATTGTTCTGGATGCTACGATGTTCTCAGTGGTTCCTAGGGTGTTCCGAGTGGTCTTCAGTGTATTGCTTTATGGTTGCCAGGGTGTTGCTATGATGTTGCTAAGCTGTTCTTAGGTGCGTTTGCTATGCAGTTACTGTTCTTGTTGTTAGGGTGTTCTGAGTGGTTTTCAGTGCATTGCTTAATGGTGCCAGGGTGTTGCTATGATGTTGTAAATCTGTTCTTAGGTTTGTTGCTATGCGGTTACTGTTCTGGTTGCTAGGGCGTTCTTAGTGATTTTCAGTGCATTGCTTAATAGTTGCTAGGGTGTTGCTATGATGTTGCTAAGCTGTTGCTATGTGGTTACTAAAATATTCTGGTTGCTAAGGAGTTCTGAGTGGTTTTCAGTGCATTGCTTAATGGTTGCCAGGATGTTGCTAATGTGTTGCTATGGGGTTACTAAAATGTTCTGGTTGCTAGGTTGTTCTCAGTGGTTGTTAGGCTTAAGTAAAAAGAGACTGATTTAAGGAATTATTCATGTTTGAAGCATAAACACTGTGGGATGTTTAATACGTAGTGTTGGAAACATAAGTATGAGCAAAAAGCATTAAAAATGACACGTGTAACTCCTAGATAAAACACTCATTAGATGTGTTGTCCATTAGTGTAGCCGTGCAAACGTGTGTTTAGCGCAAAGGGAGAATATAAACAGGCTGTTTCCTGTACAAACACATTTAGATAAACTGTGTGTGAGAGAGAGAAATACAAAGACATGAAGATAAACATCAGGATGTACGCTAGAGTTTCTGTGTCAACACTATGAACACTGGCCCTGGTTACCCACAACACCTCACACACACACCTCACACATAGCGTCCCTCAGGAGGTAAATCGTGACACACCCTGGGCTCGGAACAGGACCGGGCTGAGAAAAGCGGGCACAGTCTGGATCAGACCAGCTTTATTACTCTCACTCAGGCGTTGACACTTTATGAATTCATAGTCTCTAATCTAATTGTTAAAGGGGTCATATGATGCGATTTAAATTTTTCCTTTCTCTTTGGAGTGTTACAAGCTCTTGGTGCAAAAAGAAGATCTGTAAAGTTGCAATGACTAAAGTCTCAAATGCAAAGAGATATTCTTTATAAAATTTAAGAGTCAGCCACGCCCTCCTAAAACGGCTCGTTCTAACACGCCCCCACATATCTACGTCACTATCTGGGAAGATTTGCATAACGCCGCCCAAATGTTCACGCAAAGAAAGAAGGCGTAACTTTTATTCTCGCT